TTAAAAACATTTTTTTAGGAGACAAGGTCTTGCTATGTTGCCCAGGCTGACCTCGAATTCCTGGGCTCAAGCAATTCTGCCATCTCAGACTCCCAAGTAGCTAGGACTACAGATGTACAACATCATGCCTGGCTACCACATATGATCTTTTAACAGTAAATGTTATAGTTCTCAGAACATCTGATTGTTCCAAGACATATTCTTCAGATAACACCTAAGCTGCACTGCTGTGAAACCTCCACTACCCTTTAATGTTCCTCACCTGAGGGGAAATCACAGCTGCTCTTCACAAACATCATAAATAATAATCTATTCCATGCATATGTGGGACCTACTGACTGTCAAGCACTGGTGTATACAAGAAGGAACAAGATAAGGCTCCTGCTGTCATTCCTCTCTAGTGAGAGAGATAAGGTACACAAAACCACTGAGAAAAATATCATCCAATACCAGTGACAGATTCAGTCCAATCAGTGACTAGGGGTAGATCAGTGATAGATCCAATTGAAAAATCCAGTGATAGAAATATCCAATCAGTGATAGATCCAAACAAGGATAATGACTACCAGGTGATTTTGGATTTGAAGGTGACACAGGGCCTCAGAAAGGTGAAAATGAAGTCAAGAACTAAACCGTAGAAGACAAGTAAAGATCAGAGGGAAGAGCAGTGCAAAGACTCTGACACAGAAAGAAGTCTGTATTGGTCAAAGACGAGAGAAAAGCTCCGTGTGGTTACAGTAAAATAGAGTAGGTGGAGAGCAGTACCGAATGAGATCAAACAGCCAAGGATCAGCTCATGCATGGGTTTGTAAGATGAAACAAGAAGTTGAGAATTTCTTCCAAGTGAAGATGAAGGCACTAAGAGGGTTTTAGACATGGGAGTAACATGATCTGACTGATATTTTCAAAAGTTCATCCTACTTGTCACATAGAGATGTAATAACAGGTAATCCAATCCTTTCACTAAACACACACACACACACACACACACACACACACACACCCCTCTTAATAGAATGCCAAGAAAAGACTGTATTTGCCGAAAGGTGTTTTTAGTTTTATTTTTAAGTCCTGAATGATTTCCCAGGTGTATCAGTGTCTTCAGTCTGCCAATTCTAATAGCTACCACAATCAGCACATTTAAGAACTTCCTCTTTAGACCCTATATGTTAATATAATTTTTACTGTGCTGACAAATTTGACAATTAAAAAGTCAAAGAATACTGAAGAAACTGGAGTTTGAACTGCTGCTATTTAAATATTAAGACATCTCCTTTACTAAACATATCAATACTTAATGAAAGCACAGTTCATGAAACAAGACAGCTGACATTATTATCCTGAGAGTTAAAAAGCATCTCTAGCCTGTAAATTCTACCTTGAGTTCCCAAAGAAAGCATTTATGGGGCATATGCAAAAAATAAATATAACCAACAAAAGTGAGATATACAAGAACAATATATCTACTCTTAGGTTTCCACAAATTCAAGATTGATGTTTTTAAAACAAAAGAAATAATTAGCTCTCTGAGAAATAATACCTCTGAGTTTGCTCTCAAATTACAGAACAAATTATTTCTGGACTTAATACCATATTCTTTAAGCACAAAATTTATTTTGTGGATAATTTTCCTCTGCAGAAGCAATATGAAGAAGCTATCTAGTGAATGCAAAATTTTTATTCCATGGTAAACTGCTAAAATTATACCCTCAAAAATATGACATGTTCTTACTTGAAGATCTCTTTAACTGAAATTCTAAATTCTGTGAAGACTCATGCTCTAATCTCTTCCATTTAAAATTCTGCAAAATAGGTCACCTAAAGATTATCCTTATTTTTAAACCACTTATTATTACACATAGTTCTAAAAATATTGGCCAAAACCTTGAGTTGTTGGCATTTCACCTTTCCCCACTTTTACTATAGTAAGATTTAAAGGAAATGACTGAAATTGGTACTGTGAAATATGACTAGGAGCATATTCTGAAAAGTTTGATCTACAGTTCAGACCACAGAACAGATGTCAAAGAGAAAGCTCTTCTGCATCTATGCATGGGTTTCAACAAAATAGCTGTTACAGGACTCCATTCTCAAAGCAAAACTGAAAATTAAAGAAACCACTAATTTGTACAATTTCTCTGGAAGTCTAAGTTTTACTCTGAAGCTATGAATGTAAAATTTTACATACAGCAAGCTTATTAAATCCTATTAGGCTCAAACATAAACATTCCACCACCATGAAGAACATAAATAGCAAGTTTAATAATTACATAAAATATATTCAGGGCAATTGCTGCAACACTCACTTTATATATCACAGGCATTCAGAAGAACTGGAACATGCATCCTCATCGCCCATGTGTGGACAAATATCCACAAAGAACCACAGCTAAGACTAAAGCTGCTTGTTATTTGAAGGCACCAACAGAAGGCTTCTGGAAATTTTAATTGTGGTTTCTTAAAACAAATTTTAAGTAGCACATGATGCAGAGATCTAACAAAGACCCTTCCTAACCCAAGACCATATGCAAGTCAAGAAACTCACCTGTGTTATACTCCTTCAGCTGCAAGTTCTTTACAGGCATACCATCAGGAGTCCGAAAAGCATTAAGAATCTGCAAAAATATGGCATCTACACTAATGATACAAATCATAATCAAACACTGAATATTACATTTTTCCCTAAAGGTTTTATCATACATTATTTAAAGCCATGATTATTGTGTAAAAGCAAAGTTAACTATAAACACTCAAGGCATTCAAAAAACGTTGAATGAGTCCGGGCACAGTGGCTCATGCCTGTAATCCCAGCACTTTGGGAGGCCAAGGCAGACAGATCACCTGAGGTCAGGAGTTTGAGACCAGCCTGACCAACATGGAGAAACCCTGTCTCTACTAAAAATACAAAATTAGCCGGGCGTGGTGGCGCATGCCTGTAATCCCAGCTACTCGGAAGGCTGAGGCAGGAGAATCACTTGAACCCAGGAGGCGGAGGTTGTGGTGAGCCGAGATCACACCATTGTGCACTCCAGCCTGGGCAACAAGAGCAAAACTCCATCTCTAAAAAAGGAAAAAAAAAAAAGAATGAGTGAAACATAATTATTTAAAAATTGGCAGAATGCAGTGGCTCATACCTATAATTCCAGCACTTTAGAAGGCCAACGTGGGAGGATTGCTTAAAGCCACGTTTAAGATAAGCCTGGGCAACATAGTGAGACACTACCTCTTAAAAAAAATTTTTTTTTCTTAAGTATCCGGGAAAGGCCAGATGCAGCAGCTCACACCTGTACTCTCAACACTTTGAGAGGCCAAGGAGGGTGGATCACCTGAGGTCAGGAGTAGCAGCTCACACCTGTACTCTCAACACTTTGAGAGGCCAAGGAGGGTGGATCACCTGAGGTCAGGAGTTCAGGACCAGCCTGGCCAACATGGTGAAACCCCATCTCTACTAAAACTACAAAAATTAGCCAGGCGTGGTGGTGCACCTGTAATCCCAGCTACTTGTGAAGCTGAGGTGGGAGAACTGCTTGAACCTGGGAGGCAAAGGCTTCAGTGAGCAAGATCGTGCCACTGAACTCCAGTCTAGGTAACAGAGCGAGACTCCATCTCCAAAAAAAATAATAATAATTACCCAGGAGACCAGGCACAGTGGCTCACACCTGTAATCCCAGCACTTTGGGAAGCCAAGGCAAGAGGATCACCTGAGCTCAGGCGTTTGAGACCAGCCTGACTAACATGGAGAAACCCCGTTTCTACTAAAAATACAAAAATTAGGATGGGTACAGTGGCTCACGCCTATAATCTCAGCACTTTGGGAGGCCAAGGCAGGTGGATCACCTGAGGTCGAGAGTTTGAGACCTGCCTAACCAATATGGAGAAACTCTGTCTCTACTAAAAATACAAAATTAGCTGGGCATGGTGGCGCATGACAGTAATCTCAGCTACTCGGGAGGCTGAGGCAGAAGAATCACTTGAACCTGGGAGCCAGAGGTTGTGGTGAGCCGAGATCATGCCATTGCACTCCAGCCTTGGCAACAAGAGGGAAACTCCATATCAAAAAAAAAAAAAAAATTAGCTGGGTGTAGTGGCACACACCTGTAATCCCAGCTACTTGGAAAGCTGAGGCAGGAGAATCACTTGAAAGCAGAAGGCTGAGGCTGCAGTGAGCTGAGATCATGCCACTATACTCCAGCCTGGGCAACAGAGCAAGACACTGCCTTAAAAAAATTTTTTTAAAAAGGCCGGGCACAGTGGCTCACGCCTGTAATCCCAGACTTTGGGAGGCTGAGGCGGGCGGATCACGAGGTCAGGAGATCAAGACTATCCTGGGCTAATTTGGTGAAATCCCATCTCTACTAAAAATGCAAAATTAGCTGGGCGTGGTGGTGCGTGCCTGTAGTCCCAACTACTCAGGAGGCTGAGGCAGAATTGCTTGAACCCAGAAGGTGGAGGTTGCAGTGAGCTGAGATCATACCACTGCACTCCAAGTCTGGGTGACAGAGTGAGACTCAGCCTCAAAAAAAAAATTTTTTTTTTGACCAAGAGTGGTGGCTGACACCTATAGTCCCAGCTACTTAGGAGGAGAGTTTGAGCCCAGGAGTTTGAGGCTGTAGTGAGCCTTGATTGGGCCACTGCACTCCAGTCCGGAGTACCCCGTCTCTTTTTTTTTTTCCTCAGGTATATAAAAAAAGCAAAAGAACATAACCTTCTCAGGTATATAAGAAAAGCAGAAGAACATAACCTTCAAGGGCTCAAGCTCTCTGTACTCATACTGTGTACATTCCAAGCTCTCCTGCGTACCTGCTGTGTAACCTTTTAGTGACCAGTTTCTCATGTGTTAAACATAAAATGATTTATTGGGTTCAGGGCCATAGCACTTCCTCAGCATGGGCAGTTTGTTTCCCCATATTCTAATGAACTGTTCTCTCACTGCATTCAGGCCTAGGCTCAAATGCCTCTTCCTCAGTAATGTCTCCCTAACTATACAATATAAAAATTAGCCCCATAAGCATGCACGCCTGTAGTCCCAGCTACTCCCGAGGCTGAGGTGGGAGGACTGACTGAGCCCACGAGGTAGAAGCTGCAGTGAGCCATGACCGTACCACTGCACTCCAGCCTGGGCAACAAAGTGAGACTCTGCCTCAACAAAATTAAAAAATGGGCTGGGGACAGTGGCTCATGTCTATAATCACAGCACTTTGGGAGGTGGATCACCTGAGGTCAGGAGTTTGAGACCAGCCTGACCAATATGGTGAAACTCTGTTTTTATCTAAAATACAAAAATTAGCCAGGCGTGGTGGCATGTGCCTATAGTCCCAGCTACCTTGGGAGGCTGAGGCAGAATAATTGCTTGAACTTAGGAGGCAGAGGTTGTAGTGAGCCGAGATCGTGCCACTAGACTCCAGCCAAGGTGACAGGGCAAGATTCCATCTCAAACAAACAAATAAAGATGATGATAAAAATAAAACAGCCCCAATTCCAGTGACACTCTAAGCCTGTACTTTAGCTTTAGTTTTCTTTTTTGAGACCAGGTCTTGCTCTGTTGCCCAGATTAGAGTGTACTGGTACAATCTTGGCTCACTACAACCTCCGCCTCCTGGGTTCAAGCAATTCTCCTGCCTCAGCATCCTGAGTAGCTGGGATTACAGGCACATACCACCACATCCAGCTTATTTTTTTTCTATTTTTAGTAGAGACGGGGTTTTACCGTGTTGGCTAGGCTGGTCTCAAACTCCTGACCTCAAGTGATCCGCCTGCTTTGGTCTCCCAAAGTGCTAAGATTATATGTGTAAGCCACCACGCCCAGCCTATACTTTAGTTTTCTTCAGAGCATTTATTTACTGACTAAAATCATGTAATCTGTTTTTTGCTTGCTTTTTCATTATCCATAGAGGCAGTAACTTTATAATATACACTGCTATATCACCCGGTATCTAGAACAATGCCTGGCATACAGTAATGCTTAATATTTAGAGTGAATAGATTATATATGTGATAATTAAATAAACTAATGCTTATAAGTATCACACAATGCCTGGCACAGAGTATAACTGTCATAAGTTCAGCCCTAATTTAGTCAGCCAATCCTTTGATATTGGGCAGTTAGGCAGTTTCTAGTTTTTACTATTGTAAATAAACTGCATCTTTATGTATGCATTCCAGAAATAATATGTTCTAAAGGATGTGATCATGTCTCAAGAGAGCAGTCACTTGTCAAATATTTTTTAACCTCACCTCAGTGAGTACATGCATAAATGGCAAAATCTGAATAAACTTTACGAATTATAACAGAGTCAATTTCCTGGTTTAGATACTATACCATAGTTATGCAAAATATTAACACTGAGGGAGGACGGGAGAAAAATACACAAGCTTCTCAGCACATTTCTTTGCACCTTCTTGTGAACCTACAATTTTTCAAACTAAAAGGTCTTTTTAATTTTTAACTGACACAGAGAAACAGGAGAGAACATGTGCCTTACCTCTTCTTTTGTGGCATTTTCAGGCACCCCGCTTAATCGAATAAGCCTGCTGGGTTTTTCCTCACTTGGGCCAGTCCTATAATCTTGATCCTTAAATTCAGAATGAAAAATTATTTCACAAGTAAATATACTTTACTGTTCAAAACACAAATCGACATGAAGTTTAACTATTCAGGATCAAAAATGATAATGACATATCATGTGAAGATATGAAAAATTACAATTTTCTCTATTGTTTTGAGTGCCAGAATGTGACTTAAAATCATTAGAATATAAGTATGCTAAGACCAAGGCTCACTGAAAGAATCTTGAAAGGAGAGCAGCCGGGCGCGGTGGCTCAAGCCTGTAATCCCAGCACTTTGGGAGGCCGAGGCGGGTGGATCACGAGGTCAAGAGATCGAGACCATCCTGGTCAACATGGTGAAACCCCGTCTCTACTAAAAATACAAAACATTAGCTGGGCATGGTGGCGTGTGCCTGTAATCCCAGCTACTCAGGAGGCTGAGGCAGGAGAATTGCCTGAACCCAGGAGGCGGAGGTTGCGGTGAGCCGAGATTGCGCCATTGCACTCCAGCCTGGGTAACATGAGTGAAACTCTGTCTCAAAAAAAAAAAAGAAAGGAGAGCAAAACATGACCAGAGACAACACTGAATAAGACTTAAATAACCAGAAAGCCACACTAACATAGTCTCTAAACTGTAATTTTCTCAGTCTGGCCAACATAGTGAAATCCTGTCTCTGGTAGAAACGCAAAAATTAGCTGGTCGTGCTCCGCGTGCCTGTGGTCCCAGCTACTCTGGAAACTGTGGAGGAAAAACCACTTGAACCTGGGAGGCAGGAGTTTCAGGGAGCCAAAACTGTGCCACTGCACTCCAGCCTGGGAGACTGAGCAAGAACCCCAGTCTCCAAAGAAAAAAACCAAAACTTCCCTGGTCTGAGAATGGGGTGTGGGCTAGCAGCACTTCATAGGTCTGGTGAGAGAAGATAACTACATAATGTTAATTTTTTAAATGTCCCTGAATGATGGTGACAGGATAGGAAAATCTTCATGTAGCAAAAGCTTCATTAGGTTTTCCCTAATGATTTATCAACCGGGTTTGTGAAACAAACAAAACAACTTCCTGCCTTTGTTTTTACGTCTGAGGAAAGTTTTAGTGAGGTGTCTTATATTGTACTCCACACTACAGAAGCTTCTGGCAGTGATATAGGTTATATGCCAATCAGTCAAATAATATTGGTGTAAGTACAATTAATATTTGTTCAACTTCAAAGTATGAGTTAATATGTACATATGTAAACTCTAAAGTATTAAGTCAAACCTCCCAAGAAATTTTCCCAAAAACATGCATTAACAGACTTGATTTTAATTAATTTATTTATTTTTTTTGATACAGAGTCTCTGTCACCCAGGCTGGAGTGCAGTGGCACAATCTCAGCCCACAACTGCCCTGCCTCCTGGGTTCAATCAATTCTCCTGCCTCAGCCTCCCAAGTAGTTGGGATTATAGGCACCTGCCACCACACCTGGCTAATTTATATATATATATATTTTTTTTTTTTTGAGATGAAGTTTTGCTCTTGTTGCCCAGGATGGAGTGCAATGATGCGATCTCAGCTCACCACAACCTCCGCCTCCCGGGTTCAAGTGATTCTCCTGCCTCAGCCTCCCGAGTAGCTGGGATTACAGGCGCCTGCCACCACACCTGGCTAATTTTGTATTTTCAGTAGAGACGGGGTTTCTCCATGTTGGTCAGGCTAGTCTCGAACTCACAACCTCAGGTGATCCGCCTGCCTCAGGTGATCCGCCTGCCTCAGCCTCCCAAAGTGCTGGATTATAGGTGTGAGCCACTGTGCCCAGCCTAATTTTTTTTGTATTTTTAGTAGAGATGGATTTCACCATGTTGGCCAGGCTGGTCTTGAACTCCTGACCTCAAATGATCCGCCCACTTTGGTCTCCCAAAGTGTTGGGATTACAGGCATGAGCCACTATGCCTGGCCTTATTTTTCTTTTTCCCGCCACACTCTCTCCTGAGGTTGTACCACAAAGGTCTCTAACTCCTGGCCTCAAGTGATCCTCCCACCTCAGCCTCCTAAAGTGCTGAAATTACAAGCATGGGCCACTGCACCTGGCCAAATCGACTTTAAAAGGTAATGTCTTCATTGCAAAATTACAAATATAACCCTCCTTGCTTAAATCATATATTCAAGAAGTTTAACATTTAATTATGTTAGCTGCAAGAGGATAGATGCAACACTAAATCACCTCCTCACGACTAGGGAGACTCCTAAGTATTCTCTCAATGAATTTAAGTAAGAAAATGATCCCTAAACAACCACAGGCCTAACTAAGCGAGAGTTGCAAGAGTCAACTCCCAAAGACATATACTTTCAAACTAAATTGTCCGAAGGCATGTAAATCAGCACCATAAAAAAAAATAATTTAAAAACGCACATCAAAAATATGATCTGAAGCTAAGGGCAATGGCTCACTCCTGTAATCCCAGCACTTTGGGAGGCTGAGGTGGGGGGACTGCTTGAATCCAGGAATTCAAAACCAGCCTGGGCAACATGCTGCAACTCTGTATCTACAAAAAAATACCAAAACTGCTGGCCAGGCGTGGTAGTGCACACCTGTAATCCCAGCTCTTTGGGAGGCTGAGAAGGGTGGATCGTTTGAGATCAGGAGTTCCAGCCCAGCTTAGGCAACATAGCTAAACCTCATCTCTACAAAAAAAAATAAATAAATAAATACAAAAATTAGTGTGGTGCCACATAACTACAGTTCCAGCTACTCAGGAAGCTGAGGCAGGAAGACTGCTTGAACATGGGAGGTGGAGGTTGTCGTGAGCCAAGATCGTGCCACTGCACTTCAGCCTGGGCAACAGGGTGAGACTCTATCACAAAAAAGAAAAATAAAAAATAAACTAAGTAGGCATGGTGATATATACCTGTAGTCCCAGCTTCCTGGAAGGCTGAGGCGGGGGACTCCCTTGAATCCGGAGTTAAGAGGGTTGCAGTGAGCCGAGATAACACCACTGCACTCCAGCCTGAGCAACAGAGCAAGACTTGCTCTCAAAGGAAAAAAATAAATAAATGAAACCTAGCCAGGTGTGGTGGCTGGTGCATACCTATAGTTCCGGCTACTCAGGAAGCTGAGGTGGGAGGATAGCTTGAGCCTGGGAGGTCAAGGCTTCAAGGAGCCATGATTACACTATTATACTTCAGCCTAGGTGACAGAGCGAGACCCTGTCTCAAATATATACATATATATATTTCCTTCATATATATATATATATATATGAGAAGGGAAAATGAAGCAGGTAGAAAAGAATAAAAGAAAAAATATATATATAATCTGAGCTCAGGGCCTTTTCTCTAGAAATTTACATTCCTACATTCTACCCCTGAATATAAATTTTTCTTTCTAATGGTTATGCAAGGATAAAAATAAAATGATTAAAAAAATAAATAAGCTTCATCCTTCACAAAAGTCTTACTTAAAAGGAAAAAAAAAAAAAAAGCAATCCACCCCATCAACATACCTGAAGGTCCCGTTGGGCATCTCGGGCAGTTTTGCTCTCTGGAAAAGACTTGCTCTGGCCATAGCCAAACATCTGGCTTCCTGGCAGCCTATGATCCACATCACGGTACTCCATGCTTCTGTAGTCAGTGTCTTGCCGCCCAAGAAAGTCCAGACCGCCTTCTTCTTTAAACAGACCAGCATCTGAACTCTGCTGTTCACCTCCAGAAAGCTGTGACTTATCTTGGTCTTGAACTGGACTTTGGCTGTTCTGAAAGTCAGCTGGAGACTCATGTTCAAAGGCTACACCTTGTGTTTCTGCTTCTCTTGTTTCTGAATGCTCAAATTCTCCCTTCTGAATGCCAAAAGCAGGCCTTTCTATCGTACGGTCATGTGTGGATTCTTCTCTCCTGTTCACATTCATACCAGAATGTTCTCTATCTTGTGTAGAGGGCTGAATGTAATCCAAAATATTTGGATCCACAGGGGGCATCTCCCTATCTTTAAATTCCATACAAGGTCCCATCTCTCTGCCCCTAAAATCCTGATCAGTCCTAGACTGGTGTCTACCTCTGAAATCTGAATGTGGTGTATCCCTGTCCCTAAAGTCTAGATCAGCAGTACCTGAACCTCGGCCTCTAAAGTCTACTTGTGTTCCATCTTTGTCCCTAAAGTCCAAATCAGATACATCTCTATTCCTAAAATCAGAACGGGACTGTTCTCTGGCCCTGAAATCCAAATCTGATAAATCCCTTCCCCTAAAATCTGCATGGGATCCATCCCGGCCTCTAAAATCTAAATCATAAGTGCCCCGGCCCCTGAAGTCAGATGGAGGAGCATCCCTACCTCTGAAGTCAACAGCGTGAGCATCCCTGTCTCTGTAGTTCATATGAGGTGCCTCCCTACCTCTATAATCCATAGAAGTACCATCTCCACCCCTATAGTCCATAGGTGGTCCTTCTCTATCCCGAAAATCCCCAGAATGTATGTCCCTACCCCTGAAGTCCAACTGTGATGAATCTCTGCTCTGGAAATCAGAAGATGAAAAATCACCCCCCCTGAAATCATGTCCAGGTCCCTCCCCTCCTCGATAGTCACCATGCGGTCCATCTCTAGCTCCATAGCTGAAAGAATGCTCCTCTACATTTGAAAAAGGAGGCCCCGAATGCCCCTGGAAATCAAAGGGAAGTGAATCTCTGCCAGGAAAGTTGCCAGAGTGTCTCTCTTGAGCATGACTCTTAAGGGGAAGAGGAGGATAATCCCTGTTCCACCCGGGAGCAAACCTTTCTTCTTGGCTCCCACTGTAGAAACAAAGACAGTGTTATTTATATTGTCCAGAGAGTTTGAAATCTACACACCAGCATATTCTTCTCTAATCACAGCACATTCTTCTGTAAACATTTTTTTTTTTTTTGGCAGAGTTCTGTAACAAGTTCCTAGATCTGCAGAAAACAGCAAAGGTTTGCTATTTTAAGACGAAGTGGCGGAGTAAACTTTTATGCTCCCATTTCAGAACACGAGGAAAGTCAACACAAGGTTTTCAACATGACTGCTGCAGAAAAAGCTTTCACCCAGTCCTGCAACAGGGAAAATCCGCAATACCAAATAAGCTAACAATGGTGACATACTACAAAAGTTTCCATTTCCTACAGCCAGGGAACTTAAGAATTCCAAGGTCAACATGACGATTCCTATGTATCAGAAAAATCAATTCACTGTAAATTTCTTACAGTAAGTTTCAGTAGATATCTTTCTCACTGCTGCATCCAGGGGTAACATTCCAAAATATTTTCTTACAGATATAGCATGGACACTACCCAATCAAAATGGATGCAGGCCCAAAAGGAAGAAACACTGGTTGTAAATCACCAGTAGGAACAAGCACACCAGTGTTCATCAGCTGAGCATCAGTCCTGGCTGCATCTAAATCCCAGTTCTACAGTGGCTCCACCAAGAAGCACTCTAACCTGGGTCCTAATATAACAACTCAAGGGTATCACAGAAGGTACCATGAATCATGCCACCAAGCATGTGTAAGTCATCTAAGCCACCAACAGCATCCATGGGCTTAATGCTGAGAGGGACCTAGAGAGAGAGCGTTAGGCCTTCAAGCATGATCCCCATGACCCAAATGAAGAAACTGATATTCCATATTCCAATGCCTCATGCTACATTTTCATGGCAATAAAATCCATTTTAAAAATAGACACATTATTAAATTTACATTCTCAATTTACAGAACTCAAGAGATAAACAAGATATAACCTAATCTTTCATACTATTCTACTTCTTCCCTTTGCCTAACCTCCAGGGCATTTTACATGTTTTGGCTTCAGTCCAAGATTCCCTAAACTAGTTTAAACAGGCAATTAGGCACCTGGGATCCTAGGTAGGGAGACATGAAAAGACCTGAAGGGTCATCTGCTATTTAGCAGTAAAACAAAAGCATTAAGATATCAATACCAACTCAATTCTTGCCTCCCAGAACATACAGGGTCTACCATAAGACTCTTCTGAGCTCAGACTGCACTACTTTAGTAAAATTCAAATAACAACTGATTCTGGGTCACTCAGTTCAAGAGAAATAGTTGCAATGCCAAACCCGTTCTTTTTTTATTTTTTGAGACAAAGTCTCGCTCTGTTGCCCAGGCTGGCATGCAATGGCGCAATCTCGGTTCACTGCAACCTCCACCTCCTGGGTTCAAATGATTCTCGTGCCTCAGCCTCCCAAGTAGGTGGGATTACAGGCACGCACCACCATGCCCAGCTAATTTTTGTATTTGTAGTAGAGATGAGTTTCACCATGTTGCCCATGCAGGTCTTAAACTCCTGACCTCAGGTGATCCACCCAACTCCGCCTCCCAAGTGCTAGGATTACAGGTGTGGGCCACCATGACCAGCCAACCCTTTCTTAAAGTAATAGGAATTTAACGTTAACCTAAACACTATAATGATGTACATTTACTGGATTTTCAGAACATGATAACTTCCACTGACCCCCATTAACATTAGTTATGTCTATGTGGTTCATCATAAGAGCAGGAGGTTTAGATGTTCTTAACCAATAAAATTTAACACTAAAATTAGGATGTTACCACTAAATACAGTGTCTTCCATATTTAAAATAATTCAAGTCTTAATAGCTTGCAGGAAAATTCAAGCTTCATCACACACTAGTAGGATGAGGACTGATGTATGAAACCTACATGTTTTCTGACCAGAACACATCTAACATGGCCCTAAGGATTATCTTACCCTTCTAAGTTAAGATCAAATAGATTTAGAATAACTTACTGTAGCAGGGTTCTTATCTGTATTTTATACGGACTAACCAAGAAACAGTTCTACTAATATAAAATAACAGTAATTATGAAAATCATTTTCAACCAAATAAAAACAAATTTAAAAAGGAAAGTTCAAAGAAAATGTAATAAAATCATTTTCCTGTATCTTTTTTGGTTCAAACTAGTTCCCAAAAAAGGAATGCTATATAAACTATGTCTCCCTTCTGATCAAAGACCTTAAAAAACAACATATAATGACTTAAATTTAAAATTAATGTGAGAAGATATAATTTTAAGTAAGTTTAAACAAGTCAAAGACAAATGTTCTAAATTTGGAAAAAAGTTATACAATAGAGCTAAATTTACTTAACATTTCTGAATGCTTACCTAAACCATGTTAATTCTATAATTCCTTACTTACAAAATAGTTATCTATAAATAGGAGTAACAAGAGGATAGATTACAATTTAAATATTTTTAAATGTTAATGTACAAGCCCATTAATCTAGACTAGAGGTCAGCAAACTTTCTCCATGAAGAGCCAGTTCATAAATATATTGAATTTTGTGGGTTATACAATCTCCATCATAGCTATTCACCTCTGCCAGCACAGCATGAAAGCAACCATACACAATCTGCAAATATATGAGCGTGGCTGTTTTCTAATAAAACTTTATTTACAAAAATAGGTTAGTGGCACTGATCTAATCCTTAGTGTTTTGAAAGAAAAGAATACCCAACATCACATAGTTGTTTTAATTTAAAGACCACTGAAGAGAAAATAAGGATGCTGGCCAGGCATGGTGGCTCATGCCTGTAATCCCAGCAATTTGGGAGGCTGAGGAGGGCAGATCACAAGGTCAGGAGTTCAAGACCAGTCTGGCCAACATGGTGAAACCCTGTCTCTACTAAAAATACAAAAATTAGCCAGATGTGTTGGCATGCACCTGTAGTCCCAGCTACTCGGGAGGCTAAGGCAGGAGAATCACTTGAACCCATGAGGTGGAGGCTACAGTGAGCTGAGATCACACCCCTGTACTCCAGGCTAGGTGACAGAGTGAGGCTCCATCTCAAAAAAAGAAAAAGAAAAAAAAAAAAAAAAAAGAAAATGTACTAGTAATAGAAGTTTCAACTGGAGCATCAATACCTTTGAATGCATACATTTAAAGGTTAGATTTCTTTGCTATGTACCAAGTAAAACCAAAAAAGTCACATTTGTATAACATTTCATTAATTGTAAACACAATGCAAAAAATGTTTAAATACGAGTTAAAATACAAAGTGTATTACATTAGCTATAAAAAAAATTAACTCCCTACAAATTTAAAATAGAATCCATTTACTACTAAATGCTACCAATGCTACCACCATCTCCACACTTCTTGGTACCCAATAACCCCTAAAATTGAGAGATGGTTTAGCAAACTGCATCAACATGCCACAGGCAAGGCATAGCTCTGAATTCTAGACATAAATAGTGCACTCAATGCAACTTTTATAAACATTTATGGACATTTCACTAGCTTTCCTTACTAGCCAAATATGTATTCCTTTGCTAAGAAACAAAAATAAGGCTGGGCGCAGTGGCTCACGCCTGTAATCCCAGCACTTTGGGAGGCCGAGGCGGGTGGATCACCAGGTCAAGAGATCAAGACCATCCTAGCCAACATGGTGAAACTCTGTCTCTACTAAAAATACAAAAATTAGCTGGGTGTGGTGGCGTGCACCTGTGGTCCCAGCTACTCGGGAGGCTGAAGCGGAAGAATCACTTCAACCCAGGAGGAGGAGGTTGCAGTGAGCGAGACTGCGCCACTGCACTCCAGCCTGGCGACAGAGCAAGACTCCATCCCAAAAAAAGAAAAAGAAAAGAAACAAAAATAAATATTTGGGGATTTCTTAATATTTAAAAAAATGAAATTAGCTGGGCATGGTGGCACACACCTGTACTACCAGCTACTTGGGAGGCTGAGGCAGGAGAATCACTCGAATCCAGGAGACGGAGGTTGCAGTGAGTCAAGACTGTACCACTGCACTCCAGCCTGGAAGACAGAGAGAGGCTCTGTCTCAAAAAATAAATAAATTTCAAAATGTTGGGAAGCCAAGGTGGGTGGATCAGGAGGTCAGGAGTTGAAGAAAAGCCTGGCCAAGACGGTGAAACCCAGTCTCTACCAAAATTACAAAAATTAGCCAGGCATGGTGGTAGGCACCTCTAATTCTAGCTACTTGGGAGGCTGAGGCAGAGAACTGCTTGAACCCAGGAGGCAGAAGGTGCAGTGAGCCGAGATCACACCACTGCATTCCAGCCTGGGTGACAAAGCAAGACTCCATCTCAAAAACAAAAAGGTTATATGACAAGACATTAGGCATGCTGGGTATTCAGTCTCACAATCATTTTTGAAATTATTTTCCAAACTGAGTTTCTATTTTTAAAAAAATCAGAAACTATTTCTCAACAGAGAAATTATCTTCCTTTATAGCTGGCCAAAATGTTACATATTTATAATTAAAACACTGGCAATTTCAATATTCAAATTTCAGAGCTTACCGAAAAGGTCCAGTTCTGTTAGCAGGTCGAGAATCCCCCCACATCTCTTTTTATCAAGAGGCCGCCAACAAGTAGATCCTTTTTCTACCAAATTCTGGTAATAGCAGTGCCTGTATAAAATAAACCACAAAAATTAGTTCTTTAGAACATGAACTAAAAGTTAAACTAGTTTCCCACTTCTTAGTTTATCAGGGACCACCACGCATCAGCATGTATACTCTGGGGTGGGGCGCAATGGCTCACACCTGTAACCTCAATACTCTGGGAGGCCAAGGCAGGCACATCACTTGAGCCAAGGAGTTTGAGACCAGCCTGGGCAACATGGCAAAACCTCATCTCTACTAAAAATACAAAAATTAGCCAGGCATGGTGCCAGGTGCCTGTAATCCCAGCTCAGGAGGCTCAGGCAGAATTGCTTGAACCCAGGCGGCAGAGGCTGCAGTGAGGCAAAATCATGCCACTGCACACCAGCCGGGGCAACAGAGCAAGAATCCATCTCAAAAAATGAAAAAATACAAAACTTAGCCAGGCATGGTGACATATGCCTGTAGTCCCAACTTCTTTATTGGAAGGCTAAGGTGGATCACTTGAGCTCGGGAGGATGAGGCTGCAGTAGGCCAAGACTGCACCACTGCATTCCAGCTCAGGAAAGAGTGAGAATGTCTTTAAAAAAAAAAAAAAAGAAAAAAAGTGTACTCTGGGCACCATAAACTTTTTAATATGCTATGAATGCTTCACATTTACTAAATAAAATAAGTATTTACTGATTTTTCTAGTGCTCACTAGCCCTTTCGTTTTGGAAACAGCATTGTAGTATCAACCCCACTGTCTCTGACTATTCCAACACCATCCAGCATGACCAATCAGAATAATCTATTACTCTCACTACAGTCATTGCTTTGAAGACAGACATGTAACTCAAGTCAAGATGAAAAGTTATCTCCTGGACTTTTGTTATAGCTACTGAAAAAGAGGCAAATCTTCATGACCTTGGATTTGGCAATGATTTCTTAAATATGACCCCTAAAGCACAAGGAACTGTAAAAGAAAATGTAAAGTGAACTTCATCAAAATTTAAAACTTGTGTATCAAAGGACACTACCAAGAGAGTAAAAAGACAGCCCATAGGTCATCAAAACAGCAGACCAGAAGTTTCAAGATCTCATTCCTTCATAGAAACATCAGAAAACAGCCAAGGTCTACAAGCAAATATCCAATCAAGAAAAAGCAACCTTCTGGCCGGGCATGGTGGTTCACACCTGTAATCCCAGCACTTTGGGAGGCCAAGGCAGGTGGATCACGTGAGGTCAGGAGTTTGAGACCAGCCTGACCAAAACGGTGAAACCCTGTCTCTTTAAAAAAAAAAAAAAAAAAGCAGAGAAGTTGAGGTGAAACTCTTTGGCAAATTAGGACATTCCAAAGCAACATGTATATGGAGAAATTTAGAAAGCCATAAATGCCAAGGCAAAATGTATGATCATACAAGACCTAGGCTGGGCACAGTGGCTCACGCCTGTAATCCCTGTACTTTGGTAGGCTAAGGTGAGTGGATCACTTGAGGCAGGTCAAGAGCTCAAGACCAGCCTGGCCATACTAAAAATACAAAAAATTAGCTGGGCATGGTGGCAGGAACCTATAGGCCCAGCTACTTAGGAGGCTGAGGCAGGAGAATCACTTGAACCCAGGAGGTGAAGGTTGGGGTGAGCCGAGATCATGCCACTGCACTCCACACTGGACAACAGAGCGAGATTTCATTGCAAAAAAAAAAAACCTAAACATAAACTGACAACCAAGAATTCTGTATCTGAGAAAACTGTCCTTCAAAAATTAAGTAAAATAATAAAGACATTCTCAGATAAAGAAAAGCTGATAGAGGCTCTTATACCACTATACATTACCAACTACAGTCCCAGCTACTTGGAAGCCTGAGGCAGGAGCATCGCTTGAACCCAGGAGGCGGAGGCTGCAGTGAGCTGAGATCACACCACTGTACTCCAGCCTGGCAACAGAGACTCCTTCTCCCCCAGCCCCCCCAAAAAAAAAGGAAAGAAAGAAATCAATCAATCAATCAATCAATCTCTGGTAAAGGCAAATACAGGAGCAATTGTAAAAACTAGCATTATTGTAATTTTGCTTTGTAACTCTGCTTTTCATTTGCAATGTGATCTAAAAACAAACTGATAAAAAATTATTAATCTAGGCTAATGAGATACGATTTACAAAGATGTAACCTATGACATAACAGAAAAGGGACAACAAAGGAGCTGCACCGGAGCAGTGATTTGCATGGTATGGAACTTAAGTTATTATAAATTCAAATTATTTTATAACTGTGAGATGTTAACTCCCATGGTAACTGCAAAGAATACATCTTTAGAATACACACATAAGAAAATGAGGTTGCCTCCTTATGCACTAGAAAAAAAAAGAAAGAAAATGAGAAGGGGCTAGGTACAGTGGCTCAGGCTTATAGTCCTAACACTTTGGGAGGCCGAGGAGGGAGGATCACTTAAGCTTAGGAGCTTGAAACCACCATGGGCCACATAGTGAGACGCTATCTCTACCACAGGCCAGTGGCTAATATCTGTAATCCGAGCACTTTGGAAAGCCAGGTGCTTGAGGCCAGGAGTTTGAGACCAGCCTAGGCAATATTGCAAGATGCCATCTCTATGAAAAATTAAAAAAATTATAAAGCCAGGTGGCGCATGCCTGTAGTTCCAGGTACTTGGGAACAACAAAGCAGGAGGATTGTTTGAGCCCAGGAGTCCGAGGCTGCAGTGAGCTATGATCTCACCACTGTACTCCAACCTGAGCAACACACACAAGCACAGCAAGACCCTGTCTCTTAAAAAAAAAAAAAATTGGGCCGGGCACAGTAGCTCATGCTTGTAATCCCAACATTTTAAGAGGCCAAGGCAGGCAGATTACCTGAGGCTAGGAGTTTCAGACCAGCCTGACCAACATGGAGAAACCCCATCTCTACTAAAAATACAAAATTAGCCAGGTGTGGTAGGCCATGCCTGTAATCCCACCTAGTTGGGAGGCTGAGGCAGGAGAATTGCTTGAACTCGGAAAGCGAAGGTTGCAGTGAGCTGAAATTGTACCATTGCAGTCCAGCCTGAGTGACAGAATGAGACTCCATCTCAAAAAAAAAGAAAAAAAAAAAAGAACACCAACATGATCCGACTATACGCTATCTTCAGGAAATTCACTTTAGATCCAAAGACACAAATAGGTTTGAAAGTGAAAGGATGCAAAAAGACATTTCATGCAGATAATAATCAAAGTTGGGGTAACTCTATTAACATCACACAAAACAGACTTTAAATACAAAAAGGTTACAAGAGACAAAGAAATACATATACACACACACACACACACACACACACACACACATACGCGCCTGTGTTTTTCTTTGTTTTTATTTTGTAGACAGAGGATCTCACTATGTTGGCCAGACTGGTCTCATACTCCTGGGCTCAAGTGATCCTCCCACCTCAGCCTCTCAAAGCGCTAGTTCATTACAGACATGAGCCACTGTGTGTCTGGTCTATATATTAATTTAAAAGCCTAATACAGCAAGACAATATAACAATTATGCACCTAATAATAGGACCCTAAAATGTAGAAAGCAAAAATTAAAAGATTTGAAGGAAGACATAGTTCTGCAATAACAGCTGAAAACCTCAAACCCCACTTTCAACAAGGAGACTGATCAGACAGAACATAAGGAGGGAACTTGAATGACACAATAAACCAACTAGACCTAACAGACATATACAGAACACTCCACCCAACCATGGCAGAATTACATTCTTCTCAAATGCACATGCAACATTCTTGGCCAGGCACAGTGGCTCATAACTGTAATCCCAACACTTTTGAGAGACTGAGGTGGAAGGACTGCTTGAGGCCAGGAGTCCAAGACCCACCTGGGCAATATAGCCAGACACCATCTCCTCAAATAAAAGCAAAAATTTGGTGGCATGCCCTTGTAATCCCAGCTACCTGGGAGGCTGAGACAGGAGAATCACTTGAACCAGGAGGTAGAGGCTGCAGTGAGTCAAGATCGTGCCACTGTACCCCAGCCTGGGCGACAGAGCGAGACTCCATCTCAAAAAAATAAAAATAAAAATAAAATTGGCTGAACATGATTGTGTGTGCCTGTATTTCCAGCTACTCAGGAGGCTGAGGTGGGAGGACTATTTGAGCCCAGGAGGTCAAGTCTGCAATGAGCCATGATCATGCTACTGCACTCCAGCGTGGGTGACAGAGTGAGACCTTGTCTCCCAAAAAAAAAGGTATGCTCTCCAACCAAAACAGTCAGAAATCAGTAACATAAGAAAAACTGGAAATTTAATCAATAAATTTTAAATATGCATAATCTCTGACTTTCCAGTTCCATTTATAGGAACTCATTCTCTAGACATTTATAGCGTAAGGTGACAAGTTTACAAAGGTACACAATAGAGCATGGTTTATAATAGCAAAAGATCATAGGCTGGGCACGGTAGCTCACACCTGTAATCCCAGCACTTTGGGAGGCCGAGGCAGGTGAATTACCTGAGGTCAGGCGTTCAAGACAAGTCTGGCTAAGATGGTGAAGCCCTATATCTACTAAAAATACAAAAATACTATATCTATTAAAAATACAAAATATAATACAAAAATACCAAATAAAAATACAAAAATTAGCCAGGTGTGGTGGTGCATGCCTGTAATCCCAGCTACTCGGGAGGCTGAGGCAGGAGAATCGCTTGAACCCAGGAGGCGGAGGTTGCAGTGAGCTGAGATCATGGCACTGTACTCCAGCTTAGGCAACAAGAGCAAAACTTGGTCTCAAAAAAAAAAAAAAGAGATTATAAAGCCTAAATGCACATCAATAGAGTATATTAATACTATAAGAACACTATGCAACTCAGGCCTGGTGCAGCAGCTCAAGCATGTAATCCCAGCACTTTGAGAGGCCAAGGCAAGCAGATCGCTTGAGCCTTGAAATTCAAGACCAGCCTGGGCAACACATGGTGATACCCTGTCTCTACAAAAAATACAAAAATTAGCTGGGTGTGGCAGAAGGTATCTGTAGTCCCAAATACTCTGGAGGTTGAGA